ATAAAATCAGCGAGTCGACCCGAGTCCAAATCATATGATTCGAGTCCTTCACCCCCACCAGCTACTACCAATGCTAGACGGGTGGCCCGGTGGTCCAGTGGTTAGCGCGTCGACCTCACAGTGCAGAGGTTGTGGGTTCGATCCCAGCTCTGGCCTTCCTGTGTGGAGTTTGCATGTTTTCCCCGGGCCTGCGTGGGTTTTCTCCGGGTACTCCGGTTTCCTCCCACGATTGAAATCTGTGTAATCTGAGACGACATCATGAAACGAAACACGCGAACAAAAACAAGAACATGGACATGGAGGGGGAAGGGGGATTTCATTAAAAACGGTATACTTAAAGTTTGTGACGAAGTTTACCCCGAAAAAAAGCAACTCTTTTTAAACGTGAGCATTAGCAGAAAGACAATTGCAGTGTTTCTGCAAAGATACGGCAGTGCGTGCTGCGCAGTTTGCCCATTTCCTCCCCGACACAGTGGCCCCGCTGAGCATCCAGGCTGCTCAAACGTTGTCGAAAGTTTGGCAGCACATACGTGTGTGAACAACTATTTTCTTTGATGAAGCTGAACAAAACATCACACAGAAGTCGATTTACTGCTGAACACCCTCACTCAATTTTGAGGATTTGCTCAGCGCCTGACCCCAAATATTGATGAACTTGTAGAAAAGTTAAGACACCACCGAGTATCAGCCTCAGCCTCAAAGAAGTGAATATTACTTATAATATACTGTGCAATCACATACTAAGAGTTTTTACTCAGTTCAAGTTTAAAAATTAAAGTGCAATATTTGCTTTCGCTGCTTGTTACTTCTTGAAGAAAGTGTTGTTTTTGGTTTATACATTTTTGCACTTTATTTTATTGTATTTCAATCCAATTATGTTTTAAAAATATTTTATTCGAGTAAATGATCGAATATTACTGCACTATTATTTGTTTTTCTTTTAAGTAAATTTAGCCTACTTTTGCTAAAAGAGAAAATATGGACTAGTGATAGTGCCTTGAATAATATCGGCTTTTTTCATTCATGTTATGGGTATTTTTATACAAAGGAAATTTTTTTTTGCCTGTTGAAAATTAAAGTTTACTGACATAGCCATAAAAAAATGTTGCTTTATTTATCTGACCGTATTGGAATGTATTTGTTAGGTTTTCAGTCAATTAAATTTGGTTCAATAAACAATATGTGGTCATTTTTAAAATTTTCAATGAACATTCGATCAGTCCGGCCCTCGGCTTGCAGCAAAATTTTTTTATCTGGCCCTCCGTCCATTTGACTTTGACACCCCTGGTTTAGGGTGTCCCCCGCCTACTGCCCGAAGACGGCTGGGATAGGCTGCAGCACCCGCTGCGACCCTTGTGAGGATAAAGCGGCTCAGAAAATGGGTGGAATCGATGCTCGACAGATGGGCAGTACTAAAAGTATCTATCGCGTGAAATATAATGACTCACCATAAAACACAAAAACTCTCATAACTTAGATTGTGATTTCTTTTTTTTCCCCAAAATTCAGCCCTCACAATTTGTTTTACAAGGCAACATGAAATTTTATAGAAATGTCTGTCGTGACCCACAAAAAGTCTTAAGAAGACATGCACAAAAAGAGACAGAGAGGGTCATTTGGGGCATTTCCAGGTGTCGTTCTAAGGCAAGCTTGTGCTGGAAATTTGTTTAATTACCACAATGAAGATTACAATCTTGATTACAATGATAAATTGTGAAAATGCTTGGTCATTGCAGGTGAGCGGGATTGGCGGTGGAGTTTGATGACTCAACACAAACACAAAACTCTAGAAAGTCAACTCCACAAGGTCAGGGCTTGGCCAAACAGCGTGTGCGTGCCAGGAAAATAAGACAGAAAAGAATCAATGAATGAATTATTGTAAACATCCACTCGCTTGTTTTTCACAGAGATTCATCAGGATTTTTATTGACCTACAGCAGTTTATTGGTTGTGTTTCAAAGTAGATGAAATGCTGAGTGAACTCCACCAAACAAATAGATTGTGCGTGTGTGTGTGTGTGTGTATATGCACTGACCTGAAATCTGTTCAGGTGAATGATGCAATGAGTGAGAACATTCATGAATTGGGCACCGGCTGCGAGACCACCTGGACTAAACAACAAACAAAGCTACACACACACACACACACACACACACACACACACACACACACACACACACACACTGCCACCACCCTCGTCCATTCAGGAACAGCTTGCAACATACGCTGTATTGCATGTCAACAGGGAGAACACACAGAAAAGTGCCAGCTGAGATTTAAACCCAGAACCTTGGCTTATGAGACACAAACGCTAACATGCTTCACCATGCCACCAGGAAAGAAAAAAATAAAATTTAAAAACGTTTTTACTTGAATCACTAAAGCACTCCAAATGTGTCAGATCACGAGGACACATTTGTGAGCCACCCCACAGATTATTTTCAATAAGTGTTGACCATGGGTTTGCTATTGGGCTGGCTGCTAAACCATTCCTTACACTGAATGGAATTTCACCTTTTGCTGGTGGCGTAGCGTCACTTCCAAGTCGTTTCTCGTCAAACTGAAAGATTTATTGGAGCCTTCCTTTTTTGCCCATCATGTTCTCATCAGGCCTTGACAACAGACATCATCTGTCTATCTGTGTGCGTGTTGCTCCTGTCACCCCCTGATCCCTGATGCTCAGTATGCTCTTCATCCTCATGTTCCTACCGACTGCTGTCAGGCTGCTGAATAAAAAATGAATAAATAAATATATCACAAAATTATTTAAATGATATGACAACAAATGTGAATTGTACTGTGACTATTGTATTTATATTGCACTTAATTGAACTTATTGACCTTATCCATATTTATATTTATATTGCACTTAATTGAACTGTGTTTTCTTTTCTCTTCTTTCTACCCTCAATCTTGCTGCTGAAGGCTGTAAATTTCCCCAGTGTGGGACAAATAAAGGATATCTTATCTTATCTTATCT